AGTTGAGAGGAGGTGCGTCCGACATTTTAAATGTTTCAAGTGATTACGAAACTGGAGAGGTAAGATTTTATATTATTTTATAGCAAAATAACAGATCGAGACCGGAAAGAAATGAGAAACTTGCGTCACGTTTATGCCTAAATTGGAAGTCACGCAACCATGTCACGGAATGGATAGCGTTACGGCAAAGCACGGTTATTTTTTAATATCACCCTTGAACCAATCAGTTTTCTTTATTTATATCATCTGACCTATGTAAACAAGCTAAGATACCAAGCCTTTGAAAGTACAAATGGCGTCGGAAACCATTTGTTCGGGAAGAACCGTCGATCCAACTTCTGCGACATCCTTTCTGCGTGACTAAAGGCGAAAGTTCTGTTCGCCGATGAATACTGCAAATCTTCAACTTTACGGGGATCAAAAAGAATGCCACATTCATCCAAAAAAGCGGCACAAAATGAGAGATAAGAGACCCCTGTTCGCAGCGCGATGCTCGCAACCTACCAATAGTGTCTTCTTTCGCGGATGTGCCGGGTCGAAGTTTGGCTATTTCGGCCAATTTACTGTGTTTGTATGGAAGTGCAATATGAGTCTTATATGGGATTTGCGTAATTCGTTTGGGATCAAAGACGAAACGAGTGTGAACCTCGAAATTTCGTCCAAAGCAGCAACTCACTAACACGATAGCACACCGATGCTCGCAAGCACGATAATTATTTTCATTTTGTCAAAATTTTTTAATATTAGAACTTTGCCATACAAATCCTTAGAAGCTTCGGACATTTTTAAAGGGCATTAGGAAAACTCTGCGCATGCTTAGCCGCCATGATGTCCTTCATTTCTGCCTACGAAAATCAGAGGGGCAGTACTTCTGAAACTTGAAAAGACACTCTGAGGAGAACCTCTGTATGAACCACACATCTACATAGCCACAAAGGTCACTAGCTCCACTATCCATGCCAAGAAAACAATGACAAGAAACATTTATGCAGAGATGCATCAACATTTTACACTGAACACAAATTTTATCCCTCTTCAACTTACTCATTACCTTTTCCTCTTTCTCTCTCCCCTATTAATGGACTCACCTTCTAAGGTGAGCACTGAAAAAGCTGAAGAATTTCCCACATCTTTGATAATCCTTCACATAACACAATTCTCTTAGGAATGCTGCCTTTCATTTTAATTACCACAGCAAGATAATAATTTTCTAGAGAAATAAAATCAGTTACAGTATCTTGATTACTTTTGTGTGACTAAGAGTGAACATCATCACTTATTTTGACTCAAAGCTGATGTCATTCTATGGAATGGCCAGTGGTACATTATTGTTGAAAGATATGTTGAAAACAGAATTGAAACTGATATGTAAACATGGATAGAAAGTAGAAACATTGAGGCTCTTTTCTTTTAAGGGATATGCCTTGCCTTTTTATTTTTTTTATATATATAATTTACCATTAGTAAATTGCTGTTGGCCCACTTTTTTGAGAAGTGAAACAAGCATTTAATAATAAAAACATCTATTGCTGATTTCCTGGCTATATAAAGCCACTTAAATTTCAAGATTAGAAAGAAATTGTAATTGAAGTTCCTGTTCTTTCCCCTCTCACACCCCTGTCACTTCTTTATCATTTAGTAATTTTTTTATCTAGCATATATTTGAATTAGGCAAATTATTGTGTCAATATTATTACTACTATTGTAATTGAATTTTTTTAACATAAGAAGTAATCAAAAATAAATTCATAAGTTTACATTGATGACCAACACTTCTGAGATAAAGAGTTAAACAGGACAGCACTTGGTAAGCTGATGTTGTAGAGCACTGGACTGCCATGCAAGAGGTCATAGGTTCAAACCCTAAACTGGACCAACACCCAGAGTCTTAAAACATCTGAAGAGAAGGTGCTGCCTTTGTTACAACATCTACCAATGGTTAGGCATTCTAGTCTTCTCGGATAAACATCTTCTCTTGACTGGTTAGAAAGTGTTAAAAAACCCAAGCACTTCTCCCACAGGAGGGGAACATAGCTACCACACAGTAAGTTTTGGTGAGCCTGGTTGCACACCATGTTCCTTTAATTCGCCTCTAGATGGAATTAGAGCTTCTGCAGTGACAAATTTTAGTGCATTCTTCACAGAATATCCACCACCGGAAATCTTTGTTAACAGCCAAGTTGGTAAAGTCAATATTGTTTATTCCCCATTTTAATCTTGTGTGCCTCGATAAACTTTTTGGATACCATGAATACACCAAATTGTTGGTACAACTTATGAACTGGAGCTGATAAGTTCTTGAAACATTTAACTCTTAAAATGCACCTGAAGTAAAATATATATTTTTCTTGGTTGCTACTTTATAACTAAAAAAAAAATACAGATCAGCGAGTTAAACAGTCAAAACCTCAGAGGTTTAAGGAGGGTCCAGTTGGTGAGCATCCAAAACATTTGTCTTACAGAGGAAGTGATGTAGTTAGAGGTTCCAAATGGTGTTGGGAGTGAGCTAATATGTAGCTGGTGGCCCCATTAAAGAAAATTGCAAAAACAAAACTGAAACTCCAGGCTTATCAACACACTATTTTCCCAAAAAAGAACACATGCACAAGAAGTGGACATGATTTGTGTGTATTCATTGCAAAGAGTTTGTCCCCAAGAAGTCTTATGTTTATGTGTGATTCATTTTGAGGACCTGTTTCAAACACAAGCCTGTGTTCTTGATGGACAAACTGCGACAACCTCTGGAGCTGAAAAAGCAGCTTATCAAGGGCTCAGATCCAATGAAGCCAACAGTTGTGCCTCACAATTCTCCTCTCACCAAGCAAAAACAATGAAGAGTAAGTACATGCATGTTAAGTTAATATTTAAGACATGCTCCTGGATTCCACTATTGTGATTATTATTCCCAAGTGCCTTCAAAAATGTATTCCCCATTCTTCTTGTGAGATCACCAGATTTTTAATCAAAATTGAATGACTACAAAAAAGTCTTTTTTTTCAAAATTTGCTCTCTTAACATTATCACTTTTGGAGAAATTTAAGTCAAATGAGACCAAATATGAATGAAATTGTATATTCATCACTAACCATTTGAGTATTCATTCCTTTAGACTACTGGGGAGGTAGATGAATTCATCAAGATGGAAGTTAAGACCATTTCACTGAAATTGGCTTCTTTTACAGTAAGCTCTAAAGACACTGCCCAAACCAGCTTTTTGCTGTCATTTACACAAATGCCTTTACAGGTTTAGATGGTAGTTTGAATTGCTCCAAAGCTACATTAATGCTTCTTGTAGTGTACCATTACTTTAATCTTCAGTATGATACAAATCAGAAGCTCTTGTTCCAACTCTAACAGGGACATGTACTGGGATTGCAACTTCTACTATGTAGTCACAAGTGTGCAACAATATTTCAAGAAAGTGCACATAAGACAGAGCCATAAAGGACTCAATATGTCCTTTCACCTTGACTGGAACTGTATTTTAAAGAATGTATTTTGTGTTTTAAGGTGCTAGTGGTTCAAATGGTCTTTGAATTGACCTTTGAGTTTCACATCAAGATGTGTCTTATTGTGACAATACCAACAGCACGACACAGCTCACGATACCCTGGATGTAGTTAATATATTCATTTCATGTTGCTTTGATTGTGCAATATCTAAGTTCTTTTTGGCATTGTGATTAAAACTCCACATTGAAGCCACTGTTTCCTTCTTGTTACACTTATATAGGTACTGTTGTTTCATTTCAACTTTTCATTTGTGTCATTATTTCTTAAATGGCCTTCACAGGCTCCATCATGCCTCTTAACCCTTTAACTCCCCAGATGTGATTGCTTATTCTCCCCTCTAGCTGCTACACATTTCCTTGTAAATTGGTTACTCATATTTGATGCTCAATCAAGGTAAATCTTATACCTGATGAGTTTGAGTATTCTCACTACCTGTTTGCTGTATAATCTATAGATATTAAAAAGGAGAAGTTACATGTTAATCACTTCTGGGAGTTAAAGGGTTAAATGCAATTCACAGCTGCCATAAGATTTTCAGAAGATGTTATAAAAGGCGCACAGGGGATGAGATAACACATTGAAATAGTTTTAAGTTGTTGCACTGGTAGCACATTAGAGATGTTGAGTCAAGGTACCAGCACTTGGTTGTTATTGACAAGGACATCTCTATGGAAATAGATAAGTATGGATTTCACCAGAGCCCAATGGTTGGCTTGATCAATAAGAAACCTTGAGAACTTGCTAGATTAACGGGTTGCAAAAATAAGTGAAACTGTAGGTATTGAGAACATAGCAATATTACTGTAGGACTACTGAACGATGTGAAAGCACTGTAATCAAGCAACATGATTGTACCAGCTTATTAAATACTTGATCGATGAATATAGAAAGAATATGAAAAGCATTTGAAGAGCGAGTCTCCACTAAATGAATACAGAAACGTTTCAAATATCAATTGAACGATCTTGCCAACATTCAGGCTAGCTTGCCTCTCAACACACAAAACAACTATGGCGGAGAGGCGCGTTTGCTGTAAAATTTCAACGAGTTGAGAAAGGAAAACCTGGTCAAACTCAACCAAGCCAGCGAGATGGTATCTGTAGAATTATTGTTCACTATGTAGTGGCACACGCAGGATCACATAATTGAGGCCAAAGCATCCGTTACTTCTAAACAAACGCCGTTTACGTGAAGTTCTAAACTTGCGAACGAATCGCCTTTCACCAAAGGAAGGGAAGGAACAGAGAATTTTCACTTACCTCCCCAAACCACACTTATGGTCTCACTGAGAAGAGCGTTACGACTTCCACTTACCACCCCAAGTCATGCTTATGGTCTCACTGTGAAGAGCGTTATGATTTTTCAGTTTATATACCGCCCACGTGAACCGACAAACATTTCTCCCCTCGCCTTACCCTAGGGAGAGTAGTACGTTTCTACGAAAACGAGGCTAGCTGTCAAGAGCGTCGTGTAATTAGCACGAGAAGACAAATTGCAAATGGCGGCAGTCTATTGCTCCTGGACACAATGAAGCTTGTGGACAGTACTATTCGTAGCTTTCGAGTTGCAAAAGTATTTCGAGAAAATAGTGACCGAATCAATCACATAAACTTCTCGCCAAATGGCGAGACTCTGATCACTAGCAGTGATGATGATTCCATAGTTATTTATGACTGCCTTGAGGGAAAGTGAGCACGAAGTTTAGAAAATTTCAATTCAACTCCTAGAGAGAAGAATGACTTCACTTCATGGTTGTCATGGCAGATATCTTAACGATAACACAAAACTCTAACTTTTTTGTCGTTTTATAGGCCGAAAAGAACCCTTTACAGCAAGAAGTATGGTGTGGCACAAATCCAGTACACACATGCAACAAACACAGTGATTCACACTTCGACCAAGATTGATGGTGAGCTCAAACAACAACTTTTTTTTTTATTCTTAGAATAAAATTTACAGCTATTCTGACACGCAGATAGCTCATACGAATCTTGGTGGGCCAGTCTTTGATATCTAATAAGGTCTAATGAGGGAATCCTAAATTACAATACATTACTAATTACCGTAAATAATTACAATGAAAATTTATCATTTTGAATGATAATATAAGAGAGATGAAGGAAATTTTTATTCTTAGATAAGAAAACAAAAATTAAGAATTTTTTAAACTGGTAATCAATACCCTATTCTGTAGTGGTAAACTCCAGAGAAGAAGTAATGTCACTTGAAATGCTTACTGGGAAAAAAATTATGTAAAAGAGTGTTTTCTTGTAATCCATTCAATTGTCAGGGATTTTTACCAACAGCCACACAGTGAAAACAACTAGGGTGCTATATTCACTGCAGTATACCTTCCTCTAGAAACTTTATTTAGGGAATAATAATAATTGTTGCCAAGTTGTTATTATTTTTATGATTTATTTTTATCATAATGCTACTACCACAAACACCCAAATGTAACAAGTTAAGAACTGATGAATTTTTGCATAAAAAAATAGAGAATTATTTAAGTCACTGTCATCAGTAGCTTCATGCAGGAGACATTGTCAAAAATTAAACTAAAAATGATGGAATTTCTTGGTCTGATCAACAAGTTTAACCTTGAAAATTAAGTAAGATTTATTAGGGAAGACTCAGAATACTCTAATCAAAATAATCTACACTTTCAAAGCCTCTGATGTATATTACCTATAGATTTTTAAATCCAAAGTGCTCAGCACATATGTATTTCACCTGCCAATTTACTCAGCTCAGAAGGTTGCATTTATGGTAATATCAGTGTTGGTAAAAAATTTGTTTGTTGCTGTTGTTGTTTTTTTTCCATAAAAATGTATTAGAGAAGGGAAATCAGCCTCAAATCCTTGAGGATATTGAAGGCTGAAGCCTAAGGCCCCTGTCCCAGTTGTGGACTTTTTTTCCGTTGTGCATTTCAATGTCTCCTTCACACAGTCTTTCTTTCTTTTTCCTTCTTGTGTGTTTTTCATGGAAGTATGGGGGAGCTTATCTACTCTTTATGATAAACAGGATCTTAGATTAAAATGCGACTGATTGTAGCAGTGTGAAGATCAGAACACTTCTCAGACTCTGTTTTCCCATAGAGTCAAGCTCTGTTGTCAAAAAGATTAAACAACTATTGTAATTTTCCTGTTCTACTGTTTCTTGCAACAGACACTATCCGTTATCTTTCTCTACATGACAATAAATATCTCAGATACTTTACAGGACACACAAAGAGGTAAGAATTTTAATTTTAATTACACTTGATTTTTTTCCCCTTGCTTTTGCACAAGTTTGGTGTCTTGTCACAAAGATTTATATTAATTGTTTACTTTTAAGTATTGCTTATCTAAAAAAGAAGCAAAAACAAAACAAAATAACATAAATTTTATTGATTTGAAGCATTTTAAGCCAGCAGAAGACTTGAACAACAATCAGTATGTAATTGTAAGAGAGAAACAGATTCTGCTAAGTGTTTTAAACCTATATGGATATGGTAGATTACTTGAATTGATAGATAAATGACCATTAAAATGTGTGTCTGTTTTAACAACAAAAGTAAGTACCAAATGAAAAACTTGATCTGTAATTTACAAGTGATATTATTTCACATCCTTTTCTATTGTTATTTACATCATTTGGTAAATTCTTTGCCTCACATACATGTGTGTTTTTGTAGAGTTATGACCCTACACATGTCTCCTATGGATGATACTTTTGTATCAGGATCATTGGATAGGACACTCAGGTTGTGGGATCTGAGATCCCCTAATTGTCAGGTACTTAAAATGACCATGAGTTTGTTACAGAAGAAATCACAAAAATGATTGCTAATTATCACATGGAAACAAGAAAATTTATATATTATTTTCATATGTCTTTTCATTGAGGGGTTGATGCATGTGAATGGGAGACCTGTGGCAGCTTTTGATCCAGAGGGTCTGATTTTTGCAGCTGGAGTGGACTCTGAAATGGTTAAACTGTATGATCTGAGGTCTTTTGACAAGGTATTTCTTGCCAATATATTGTAATGAAACATATCCAACAATATTAGCTCAATGTTCACATATAACATTCCTTTAGAACAGTTGCCACAAAAAGAGCACTGGAAACTTCTGTTTAAAAAGCAAATGAACTACAGTAGGGGTTACCAACCATATCTATTTGGTAGATGGAACACTTTGGAAGGTTTGGTCAAAACAAAAAGAGTTTTAAAAGTCTTAAGAGTTTTAAAAGTTTTTTAAAGTACAGTTGACAGTTCCTTCAATGGGCATTATATGGGCTGCTTATTTAAACAAGATCTAACCCAAACTGTGGTTTTCCGCAAGCAGTGGGCCTCAGTGATTCTCCTTAAGAGGGTTGATTTCATTTTAATAGATGTCCATCTACTTTTAGGTTTCAGCCTGTTGACACTGTTCACAAAAAATTGATTCTTAGATAAAAGGTTTGGCTAGATTGAAGAAGGCTAAGAGTGCGGTTTTGTTAAACAACAGCTAAACTTTGTTTAAGCAACCAGCCCTATGTGTTTACTTGTGATGTTTTAAATGCATTGTGCACTTATGCAGGAAAGTTACTTTAATTTTATTTGTCCACAAGGAGGGGGACTTAGATTTAAATACCCTCCTTGTTCAACACTAAGGGCAAAGTTTACTGTTTTTTTTTTTTTTTTTGGTAATTCTTTTTTATTTTAGTTTTAAAATTTTCTTTATTTTGACCTTGCTTTTCTGTGTTATCTGACTTGTACTTTCAGAACAATGTTTAAGCATAAGTGAATTGTTTCCTTCAGGGTCCATTTTCTACTTTCCACATTCAAAATGACCCAAGCATTGAGTGGACAGGAGTTAAGTTTAGTTCTGATGGGAAAATGATCTTATTGGCTACAAATGGAGGAGTTATTCATTTGATTGATGCTTTCCAAGGAACACAGTTACATACGTTCACTGTAAGTACCGCTTTTATTGGATGTACAATAATGTTATTCAACAGTACACTTAGAGTCAGTGTAAAAATCTGTCATTGGTAAAACTTCCGGTAATATGTAGAGCTTTCTTTGGGGCTCATTCACAGTTGTGTGATCTGGAAATAGGATTCATAGCAGCTTCAAAAATTAGAAATTTGGCTAAAACCTGCAAAAAAACTCATGGGTAACAAGATAATTCACTACATGACTTTTATGGTAAAATCAACTGTAATTGTGAAGATTCTAGAGGGGTGGCACAATGCAAGGTTACAATAATTCAAACTCCTCTATGTAGATTTAAACTGATGTAATGACAGATCAAAGTTCAAAGATTTAGATTGATCAATAGTGTTTGACATGAAGGGTCATAGATAGTGAAGATCGAAGTTTATTGGCCTTAGTAGCAGTAGTAGTAGAAAAATAGTAGTAGGTTTAGGTGCAGATTAAGTTGTAGGTTCAAACTGAAATATGATGATTCAAAGTAGAGTTTTACTTAGATAAGGCTTAAAAGAAATGGTAAACTGTCAAGAGACATGGTACAAAAATAAAGCTAGCAAACTTCTAGCATGAAATGAATAGATATGATGATTCTCATGTCATAAGAAGATACAAACAACAGTGTCATACTAACTGGCAACTAAAATGAGCATGAGAGAATAACAATTTGAAAAGAAACAAGGACAATTGATGAATAAGATCATTTCACCATAATACTGTAACGATAATACTGAGTGGACTGAAAAAGAGATGTTCTATGACTGAGAAAAAAGCTGATGATTGTGTGACCTTATAAACAACAAAGAAAAGACTTATGTCCTTTGGATGACAACTCACACCAAAAAAAAAGTAGACACTTGATATAGTGGTAGCTTGGTTCCTTCTGATTGTAGCAAAGGTGGCAGTGTAGCTTCAACTAAGTTCTTTTTTACCAATATCATAATTTTTTAGGCTATGAAGAGTGAAAAAAGCTAAGGCATTGCAAAAAGTAGCACTCACAATAAGAACTATTACCTGGCTAGTGAAGTTTCCAAAGTTATGATAGAATTCCAGGAAATCTCTATTTCTGCTGACACCTTCATTTGAGACTACATGATAAGTAAATGTAAATCAAAAGGAATTCTGTAGGAAATCAGTAAAACAAATGGCGTTTCAAAACTAACATCCATCACCTACTAATATCTGCAATCCAAAGGTATTTTGAACATGAATCTGCTGCTTTGGCTTACTTCATTAGCTACAATGTACGTCAAAGAAACTGCTCAGTGACCTGCTCTAATATTAGTTTGCTAAATTTCCCTTTATTTTATGCTATCTTTTTAGGGTCATACTGTTACAAGGTCTACTCCAGTTGAAGTTTGCTTCACTCCTGATGCACAATATGTCATCTCAGGTAAAATATTTCACATCCATATATATGTATATCCATATGTGCAATCTTTGAATCAGAGAGCAATTTCTTTCAGTTACTGAGAATCAAACTTGATACTTTTGAACTATATTTCATCACATTACCTTCTGAAACAGGTAAATGTTGCCTCTTACATTGTTGAACAGGTTCTCAAGATGGACGTGTTCATGTCTGGGGGTCAGACAGTGGACAAAAGCTGACTGTGTTAGAGGGTAATCACCCTGGTCCTATCCAGTGTGTTGCGTTCAATCCCAAGTACATGATGTTGGCCAGTGCTTGTACCAACATGGTCAGTATGATTTTTAGATGATGCATACATGTATGTGTACACATTATGCACAGTTGAAAGGATGGTAGATTGGAAGATTATAAGTTGATAACTGATTAGAGTTGTTGGTGATTCCCCATAATGAAACTTGTAATAGCTTTCCCATGAAACCTTACACACTGTTGTCACATGTAAAGGAGATGATGAGAATAAGACTTATCTTTAAAGGGAGCAGTACTCCATGCTCATTTCTGTGGTACATTTCTTACTCATTTGGGCAATCCCCTTCTGTTTGACAACAATTGTGTAAACCAAACTGTGAACAAAAAAGGGCACTGTTTTTCCTTTCAACCTTTGATATCATGCAGATTCTACAGCCATTCAACCAATTACCGGTAGTCACATGTGTTTCTGAAAATTGTAACTCCCTTCTCCTAAGTAGATACTTTAAGTTTTACTTCAGTGATAGATATCTGAGAGATCTTTAACAACAATACAACCTCCTTCCTTTTCTTCTTTAAAAGGTAATGACTTTTCATATGGTAGTGACTGTCTGAACTCACTTGGTTGTAATGCCCATTTGATTTAAGTGTGATTTCAATCCAAACTCAAATTAAGTAGTTAAATATTTTCACTGGAACCGCATGATGGCTTGAGCTGTGAGGAACCATGCTGAGATCCAAAACAGTGTTGAGACAAATTATCTTTATTTTGGTATTTGTAGGCATTCTGGTTACCTAATTTAGAGGAGGTGGATGAGGCAAGCAAAAGATCATTACCAAGCTAACATGAAACTGTTTGTTGAACAGATGTAGTTACCACTGAACCCTATGAACTGAGTATAAACAGTGTCACCATGAGGTGTTGGCTACATTGCTGTGGTTGATTTAGGAAAAGAAACAGTATAAATGTTGTATATAGCATATCTAGTGGCATCCTTAGTTTTTTTGTTTGTTTGTTTTCTAATACCGAAATGAAATAAAACCATGAAAATTTGTGTCAAGGAAACTAGTTCTCTCAACTTTACATAGTAGTGGGATAACTAATGAAAGTGCCTTTGCATTTTCAGTCTCAGAACATCAGTCAAGCACCTGAACAATCAATAGTTTCAATGTTTTGGGACTGTAAACTTAAATGAACACAGCTATCACTCAAGGTGAAATGTGTTGCAGCTTTGTTTGCAAAATTAAAGCTTTGCTATCTGCAGTAGTTAGTATATTACTAGGATGACTCTGAATTGTATCAACAGACATTTTGAACTATTCAGAGAAAGGTACATCTTAATATGATGATCACAATTCATCAATGAAAATGGGGGTCAGCCAGCTCATTATTAAGTGAACCCTTTAGCCCCTAAGAGTGACTAGCATCTAATTTCTCCCTACGATATCACCCCTGAAACAAACACGAAAGTCATGAGAACAGAGGAGATGATCACCAACTAGTGTGGCTCTTGACTATTAAACAAATTCTCCTTGTCAGCCTCTTTGGAAATGTATGGGAAAAAGTATGGAGAATATGCATTCTGATGCTAGGGTGTAAAGGGTTGAGACATGTAAAGCAAGAATTGGGGTTTTATTAATTGAGATGGTAAAGTGTTACTATTGTACCCCTAACTCTTAAAAAAATGAACATAACTTGTTGTGAAATGCTATGGCATTTTTTAACTATCAGGTAATTTCAAGGAAACTAAAGAAGTTTGGGAACTTTGATCCATCAGAGAATTGGGGTTTAAAAATGACCAAACCAGTCAGTCTCAAACTCAGGTAGCTGTTTTAGCCTCCTTGAATCCAAAACCCTTATTAAGGAGTAAGGTTCCATTGATAGGGGTGCCAAATACATTGTTATTTGAATTTCTGTTAGGCTCATTTTAATTGTTGTCCTACTGCTGACTGAGAGGTTGGTGCAGATGACAGGTGAACCTAACTTGTCTCTCCTCATTTGGACAGAATTATTAACAAGTAAAATGTGAATGAAAAGCAAATTTTGCTCCTCATTCTTTTGTTTGAAGGAAGTTTTTGTTTTGTAGGATGTTTAAAGCACCCATCTTGTTACCTCACTTGACATTTTGTGTCTATATTTTCAAGAAATTTAGTAAATAAATCTTTATTTCCAATGCATTAAAAAGATTTCCCAACTCTTTTAAACAGAAATGTTCAGAGATGTTTTCAAAGATCTCATCAAAAGAAGGATACATCTTTAAGAAACCATCACTTTATTCCATGTACAATTATGTACAGACAAAGGTCTATAGTACTTTACATTTAGTTGCTAAATACAGTCAATCTTGTGTGTAATAGAACACATAATTTAATAATATAACTAAATTACTGAGTGAAACTACCGTGTTTAATGGCAAACAATGAATCCTTCACTACTACCATGGTATTTCATTTTAAATATTGTAGAAATCTAAACTCATTCTAATACAAATAAAGAACAAAAAGATTTTTTTTTTTTCAGTTTATGACATTATGATTTGAGAAAAATATCATACCACCCTCAGAGCCACAGTTAGTTGGGAGAACCTTCAATCAAGTACAAAACTATCTCAATTCTTTAGCAGTAGAATAGACCATTTTTATTGGTGACTGCCTGCACTATTCCTACAAATATTCAGTCCAATCCCTTACCCACCAAATATTCTAAGGTACCGTCAACCTGGGCTTCCATTCAAGTTTGCCCACTTTTGAACCCATCACTGAAAACATGAGTAAATTTGTACTGTTTAGATTTCCTTAAAGTAATAATTTTCCCTATTTATTTCCTGTGAGTTAACTTTATACTTTGCCTAACATAATTACATAAGATTTCTGTTAAAACTAGGTTATTCTTTGTAATTTTTTACCAACTGTAGTTAACAGCTCTTTATCAGTTCCTTCAACTACCTGTGGCACGGGGAAACCCAATTTGATTATGATAAGTTTCCCCATTACATTAGTCAATTCCCCAGCCCAAGAGGATTGTATTCTAAAAATTACTAAATACCATCCTTACGAACAATCTGTAAAAGTTGTAACCATATTTCCCACTTTCCTTGTGACAGTTCTGCAACTTCTACCTCCTAAAAATCAAAAGATGTATGATTATTACTAACATAACAACAAAGACATAATTTTGCATCACTCAGAATACTTGAATTATATTATGTTCTTACCAACTAAGCATGAGGGCCATACTAAGGAATATATTGCTATGAGGTTGTGGTAGTACAGACTGAGTGCTGTGAGGACTGTACAAAAACAATCAAGGACCAATATTCCCAGTATGCCTCAAGCAAGCCAGGTTAGTAAACAGTTAATTATAAGGTATTTGGACCAAACTTGTACATTTTGAATTTGCTGGCTTTTGCAAACAAAAATATATGGCTCATGACTGTTTCCTTAGAAATGGTCAGTATGGAAAAATGGTGACCAAGCAAGAACCAATTAGAATGTTCAGATCTACCTCAGGACAACCTTGGCATATTATAATGATGTAGATTAATGTTATTTGCAACATGGATGTATTTAAATGCAGTGCAACAACACACCCACTCACACTTCTTCATTAACCCAGCATGAAAGAAACTTGGAAAGCTAGGATGACCAACACAACATCTAGCATTTTCTTTAACGTCATACACATACACCTCACCAATGTTATTTTATTTTATTTCAACCAAAGATTCATTTCAGTGGATGGAGTTAAAGCACCTAACAAAAGTATGCCACATCCAATTTGATAAGAAACAAAGACCTGACTTTGAATTTTGCTTCTACTTTCCCCAGTACTACACTTGAAACCTTATGGATTATTTGATCAGTAACACTGTAGTGATCAGTAACACTGCTAGATGCTGCTTTAACATTAATTAGCTCTTCTGTGGTATAAATCTGATGAGCTACTTTTTAAATCCATGTAAAATAAGTTTTCATGTTTCACTTACTTGATTGTGTTTGTTTAAACTCTGAGTGTCTGACATTTCTGTGGAATCTATCCCCATTATCTTCAGAGTAAAAGTCATCTCTATGTCTACCGCTGTGAAAGCTGTCATCACTAAAAAATGAATCTCCAAAGCCACCAAACTTAAATCCTCCTCCAAAAAAGTCATCTTCGTCATCATCCTCCTCATCATCATCATCAAAGAAATCATCAAATCCTCCTCCAAATGAAAACTTAAAACCTCCACCTCCTCCCCTCTGATTGTGTCCATTTCCAAAACCAAAGTCAAAGTCTTTAAATATATCATCAAAGCTCTGGAATCCTTGATTGAAGTTGAAGCCATCATTATTCATCCCTTCTGATCCAAATTGGTCATATTGTCGCCTTTTCTTCTCATCAAATAGTACCTCATATGCTACAGGTATGGAAGGGGAAGTAAATTTGTTAGCAACATCTTTGAGGTCAGTGGTGTTAGATTATGTTTTATGGTTAATTTTATGATAGTGAACTAATTATGCAGTTAAAATATTGAAGGTAGCATGGGCTTGAAAAAAAGCATTGAAAGTTTTAATTCCTTTCAGTACAAATCAGTGTTTGGTAGACTGGATTTTGTGGTTTCATAATGGCTTTGATTGTTCCATTGACACTACTTTCTCAAACAGACACTTGCAATTTCTTCCACAATACAAGACAGACACCTATACATTATGACAAAAAGTGTTTACTAAGTAAAATATAACACACATGAAGACATCAAAACTTTGTCTGTAGACTGGAGGTTCATTTATTGAGGATGAAACTAAAATGTTCGTGGAAACTGCTAGACATCTTCGATCCTGCATGAAAACTGACATGCATTTCACCTCTGACCTGACTGTACAATGTACCCTTGAATTTTCTTACACATTTAATTTGTTCCTCAAATTGTTCGGGTACACCTTATGTAATCATGTACTTTTAACGTAACCATATAATTCTCTGACAATTTTAGTAAGTTGGTTCTAGATAGAAATATTAGCACGACATAAACCGAAATGATAGCATTTCCAAATCCTCTCAAAAAGTTTCAAGACATTTCATTCCGTCTTAAGCAGAAATTAAACCATTGTGACTCAAATGTTGACAACACGCTTCACTTGAAAATCAAAACATTAAAAACATTAAGATATTGTTGTGCAATCCACAAGTGCAATGTAATGCAAACAATTGCGGAATTTACTAGAATCCATCAATCTCTATAAATAAGAACATTTGTTTAAGGAACTGAGGCGATCGCCACTCAATCATGAATTACCATGGTAAAATTTAAATATCTCGCCAAGTGGTTTGACAGTGATTATAGCACAGAACAACACAGAAATCGACACCCGGTGTTTGAAGATACCTAACTTCTGTAGTGGGTTTTTGCGAATCTATAATCCACGAAAAACGAATTCAAGATTTCTTTTTACATTTCGATTAGGAAAATAAAACCTTAATTAAAAAAAGAATTGGTGAAGGTGACTGGTAAATCTTGTTCAATACGATTGTTTTGCCTCTAAGGGGCTCAAACACTATCGACAATCACATTTCAAGCGAGATATTGACGTCTCAGTCAAGTATTTGCATTACCTACCTTCCACAACTTCTCTAAATTTCACCTCTGCATCCTTAGCTTTGTTTTTATCGGGATGATATTTTACAGCAAGCTTCCTGAAAGCTTTCTTAATCTGTCTGCCGTTCGCATCTCTAGGAACCCCTAAAATTTTGTAATAGTCCTTGGCCAAAGCCAAATCGATGACCAGAATACTAAATGCCGCCGTTACAAGTAGAACAAGATTGTCACAGTTCATAGTTTTTTTGTCTGTGATTCAACAGGCAAACAGTTGATGAGTGAAGAATATTTCGATCCGTAAGAAGAACGACACAAAGTTGTCTACCTAAGCAAACGTGTTGTTTTCTTGGTAGCAGAACGTTTCCCTTCGAACTGCAGCATACGAAGCGTTCTGTGATTGGTCAGTTGGCAAAGATGACGTTTGATTTCCGCTGAAGGCGGCCAGTCCCAGAACTACTTGCAGCAGTTGCAGAATCAAAACAAACATGGCGGAGGAGTCTTCGGACGAGGAGCAATATGAAGATCTTAACGTTCAAAATGGATACGATGGTGAACTTGAACTGTACCTCAGGGGTGATTCTGAATCAGATACAAGTGACTCGGCAGGTAGTATAATGTTGTGAGGGAAGTCTCTAAAACGGTGTAACGGGCGAAGTTTGCATAGAATGTAGCAAGGTGCAGAAAGAAGTGTTAATGCAATAGTAAAGGGATTTCGACTAATTTTCTCCTCAGTGGATATAAAGCCAGTATGGTTTGGGCTACTATCAAGAGGGCTATACGCTCGATTTATAGGAAACTTTTTTGCTTTATCAGGACCAAAGACAATTTGAACTGACAACAATGTGTACACATGAAATAATTGATGGAGACTCTAGACTGTACTGACGTTAAACTTCGACTTTTGTGACTAGAGTTACTCTGAACAAGACATTCATGAACTCAGCTGTCGTATAGCAAGCATATGAATTTGTATTTCGACATTCTGTCAGTAAAGAGTGATTTATCTGACTTACTAAAATATTTAATGTATTTGTTTTGTGGTTTTTATTCAGCTGAAATTGTCCAGGATAGTGATGAAGGCGGAGCCCTTAATGAGTGTACAGTGAATTTTGACCAGTCTCTTCCAACTCGCCATCAAGTGAGCATTAGCCTGCACTCTTTTAACCCTAACATCAGTTTGCAATTTCTCCATACTTTTCTCCCTACATTTCCTAAGCTGTCACCAAGAGGAATTTGTTCAGTAATCATGAGGTGCTTTAGTTAGTGATCACTTTCTTCATTCTCATGAACTTAATGTTTGATTCTAGGATTATTTTGTAAGGAGCAGTTAGATGCTAGTCACTTTTAGAGGTTAAATGGTTAAAACACAAATTAGTGTATATTTACCAAAGTGTAAGACTTATGACTGGAAACATTAAATCTTGAACAATTAAGGTATTTGTCTGTTTTCCTTGCAGTATCTTGGCGAAGAAATGGATGAGTTCAGTGGACGCACATATCATGAGCCTGGTTCACATATCACCCTTCCATTACTGATGTTACCTGGTCTTGTTCTGGTCCCTGGACAAACTCTTCCTCTTCACTTATTTCAACCTCAGGTTGGACATACACTTTTAAGAAATATATTCATGACTTGAGAGATATACTAGACAAATCTTCACTTTAACATAGGTGAATGGTCAGCTTAACTTAACTCTGTTGCAACTTTTAAGAAACTAACTGACTGACTTTTACATTACAAGGTAAATGATTTGACCAACTAAACTGCAGCTGTTTTCAATTGAATGTCTAAGTAATACAAGATTGCATTGGTTTTACTCAACTATGCCCTATGACTGGTCTAGAAAACTCTCTTGACCAACTTCCAATGAATAAAAAACTGCAACCATTAAGATTTGGTTGCTCATGTTTTCCTAAGCATCAAGCAGTTTCATTCTCTTTAATGAGTTTTAATTGGCTCCCAGTGATATTTTCCTTTGGTCTTTTTAACTTTGGTTTTAGTCTTTCAAAACTATGTTGAAAAGGGCTCAGAAGGAAATAAAATAATCAGGGAATTTATCTCTCTGATAGCCATTAATTCTCTTTAATGGGTGGGAAGGTGGGACTGCACATCTAGTATTATTTGATTACAATTTTTTTGTAAAAAAATATGGATGTATTGACTTTTATTAACTACATATGTAATTGTTCTTAACACCAGTCCGTGTCAATGATGAAAAATATTATAGAAAAAGACAGAACGTTTGGCATGGTAAATGCAAGGTGAGAGATTTATGCCACAGTCCTCAGAGAACATGTCTTCTTTTCTACTTTATTGCCAATGTTTTTTTCATAAGTAACTCTTCTGTTGGGAGATTGTATTGCAAGCTCATTTCAGGTTTTAAATGTTATATATTGTTTTATATCTTATCTAGGTCAAATATTTTTAACTCTATCGAACATGATTTGAAATGATATTTTGATAAAAATTGTGAAACTGAAAATATGCAAACTTTTCTTTCTTGTTTCCTTTAAAAGCTTTACAGTGACTAAAGACAAGAGCTCAAGTTCTTATCTCTAAACAAGCCTCTCATTATTTCATAATATCAATGTTTATTGTTTGATATCATGTTGTCCTCTAGATATGGCATTAACCAAAGCCAGCTGCTTGCTGCCATTGGAACCACAGCAGAGATATTCTCCATGAAAGAAGAGTCTGATGCAGGAATTAATACACTGCGTATCAAAGCTACAGGCCGTCAAAGGTTTCGAATTAAAGAACTGCGTAGGCAAGTGGATGGGTGAGTTACAAGGTCATGCAAGATAGTAACGTGTTTTAGTCAATACCTTTTAAAGACTTATACTTCTGTAAAGAAACCTCTTATAGTCCTTGTAGCTTAAGTCTCTAAGCTAATAACTCTAACTGATACATGGTAAAAGAGAAGAACAGTTCCCAAAAGATATAGTCAGCCAACGGTCAACCAACTGTTAGCCGACTGTCAGCCAACCAATGGCCAACTGTGAATCAATGAAATATTGTTCACTTTTACCCATGTACAGTTGTTGTACAATATGTAGTACCTGAAAAACAATGGGAAGGCATGAACTGGAATAGGGTCACAACCAGTTGATAACATTTTCGTCACATTTAGTGTCTTTAGAATGAAGGAGTGAGCTCAAATATTGAAATTTTAACCAAGTTTTGCTTTTTCCTGCCTCAGTATTCTACTGGCCACAGTGCATGTTTTACCAGAAGTCAACCTTCCCTCTCATCCTGAGGGTGCACTTTGGTCTTGTTACCACAAGTTTGGTTGCCAGGGAACCACTAGTGGCTACCATGAAAAACCACACCAGGTCACCTCCAGAAAAAACAGACTGGGGAAGAATAAGTATCACAAGGTTAGATTTTAAGGAGGCATCAAATTTACTTTGATGAAGTAACACTACTTTTTCTTAATTACTTTTCTTAATTTCGTTTTCACCGATCAAGCTGCAGAGTGACAATCTTATGTAGCTATTGATCAATTAGTCCGTCTTATGTTTCTCTATATGGCAAAAGCTAAGAACCAAGCTTGGTGATCCCTGTGGTTTGTTTGTTTGTTTGTTTTTTTCAAAAGGGACACTGCTTGATATGAGGATTTAGTTCCCCCTTCTTTTGACCTTCATCTTTTTTAATAAAGTTTTTGTTTTGTGTTCAAAATCTTTCTAAAATCTTTAAGAAATGCTGTCTAGGGTGGTGAAAGTTTCTCTAATGCAAGAGAGAAGTTAGGTGAACTAGTTATGGCATCAAAAGCAGGACAGTCTATTTAAATGTTTGCTGCAGAGCTATATATATATATACATATATGGTACCTTATTAAACTTGAATCACTGATCAACTCTATAGGTACCCACCAGTCTAAGTTCATGGCCAAGCTGGGTATATGAGTTGTACAATCCAGTAAGTTATAAAATGTTCAATAAAAAATATTAATCAAGGAGAAAACCTTTGGATACTGTCACATGATCAACCTGGCACATTCCAGATCTTCAACAAGATCACCTACAGTTCTTTTGGGAATGGTGAAAGTAAAGGATAAAACACATGGGTCTTAGCAGTGACTTTTCAAAGACTGAATCATAAAGGTTCTTTTCAATAGAGCTACAACTTTGAAAATATTTCCATGAAATATGAGAAACTGCTGGTGTCCACAAGCAAGTGTTATGATTTGTAACAGTTTACTGGAAACTGTTTATATTTTGTGGAGTAGAGGGTTTTCCCCAAAATACAACAGCCCATGCATGTCACCAACCAGTGTACCAATCATTTCTTTCCTGTATACAAAATAGAACCCAAGAACACACTACTTAACAGCAACTTGGCAGTTTTTAAGGAAACATAATCTCACTACTGTGTCAAATTTAAATTTCTACAGTTTCTTCTGATGGAGCTAATCAAGAAAGAGTTAAAAAGTTGGAGTGAAACTCTACGTATCGACAACGTTCCTAGATCACCACTAGGTAACAATGATTAAGAACTAGTGCTTCAGTTAGTGTTGCATGATATCATAGGTTATAATCCATCAAATCCTTTTTCTTGTATGCCATTGGTCTAAATGCAACCCATAACAAAATATATCCCCAGCATAAACTGGTGAATATCCAAGAATATACCCAAAGTGATATTACCCAATTTTTAAACTTTTGTCCAATTCAAAAAAGTCATTGTTTGAAATTCAATTCAAGATGAGAGAACGTTTTGTGGTTGTTACAGAAGTATGGACATGTCTGTTTGTTTATAAAATTATACCAGAGAACATTGAAAAATTAACATCTTGCACAGTAAATGGTGAGTTGTTCCTAAGTATTTTTTCTGTGTGATGCAACTGTATTTGAAGGATAAGAAACGCAATAACCTCAATGCTTTGCAAACAGCTAATGCAGGCATCTTAAAAGAGTGACACTTATTGTTCAAAGTACATGTAATTGCTTCATAAGATGAAACAGTCGTATATTTTTTTGTGTCTATCATTTTCAGACTTTTCTTTTTGGGTGGCAGCCAATATGCCCTTAGATGATAGCCTTAGACTTCAAATACTTGGTATCAACTGCCCTACTCAAAGACTACGAAAAGAGCTAGAAATAGTCCGTAAGGTAATTTAAAAGATTCAAACTTTTAAGAGCAACCTCCTCTTTACTGTTAAACAAAGTATATACTTTACTGTAACATGTGCACCTGTCGTTTTTCGATCCTTCCCCCTTTTTTTCCTGCTGTTTTGTTTAGGTTTTTCTCTTTTTGTGTGGACCTTGGTATGTAGGACATACGTCAAAGAATACCAGCTTTCCTCACGCCCAGGGATTAAACTGACATTTAAAGTAACGAGTTCTAATTTTGTTCTGGATCGTTTACTTTTGTTTCGTTGTTATTGGTTTTTATTTACTCGCCTTTAAGTGCCAACGAAGATAAGTTTACGCGAACTCAATTACCCTTGGTCTCGTTAGTTAACTGAATGTTTGACATTAGCAAGAAGTAATGGGATCAAAGACCCCATTTTTTTTTCTCTTTTTTATTTCGCGCAAGTCCATAGGATCGTTTTTCCGGGAACAACGAAGACGGATTGTAAATTTTCGTAAAGTTGAGAATGACTGTTTACTTTTTAAGAGTTTTGTTTGACCCTTATCGAATCCAGTTTTTAGAGGTACATAACTCTTCTCAAATAGACGAACCCCTATCTACCATCGATTGATTTCCAATCCTTTTTCAACCGACTGACGGACGACTGACGTCACACCCACTACCCCACTTGTCTTACAGTGTAGCGTGTTGTGCTGTCGTAGTTGTGATACCAAGATCGTGGAAAAAAGTGATTTGTTCAGGTGAGGCGTCATCTGGTGAGTTAAGACCATTCTAAGTGAATATTGTGTTATTTATTTTTGGTAGAATTGTTTAAAATGATGATTTTCAGAGTTCCATGAAACTTTCCTCTGTAATATTGCTCCAAATCGACGGAAAGCTAGAAAGCAGCGCACATATTTGCCTTGTGAGAACTTTTCGGCCTTTTTTGTGATTTATACGGTTGTTGTAAATGAATTTTAGGTATATTCAAGAACGTTTGTCCTCAAAGTACCCATTTTTTTCTATATCTCGGCTACCGCTACATATCATTGCGCATACGAAGGAGAGAACCCGATAAATACACCTGAGAGCGTGTCTTTCCTTAATTCATTTTTACTCTGGTCTCTCAATGATTAGTTGTAGCATGACAATGCCACACTGCAACAGGGTTAAAAGTTATGTCCAAATGTTATCCCGCATCTGGCTGTTTTTAACTCCGTTAAACGTTAAATCATAGTTCAATTAACTCTCCAGTATTTTTATGTTATTTTTCAGCATGTCCTTGGATGGTCCGTTGGGTGCTTATGTGAATCCAAATGGCTGGGTGCACGAGACGCTCACATTTTACCGAGCCTCCGGCATCAGACTTAGAGGAAAACCCACCGCACAGAACAGCTGGTTTCCAGGGTAAGTCGGTATCTCCCCCACCCACCCCTGCTAAATGCTGCTAACCTTGTTAGAAGTAACCTTTGCGTAATTTTCTCTTGTTCTGTGTATTTTTTTATGGGGTTTTTCTGTTAGTTTAGCTTTCTTGCAAATCTAATTTATCTCGGTAAGGGAGTGACCTCACAAAGCGGAGCTGAGTGTAAAACCAACATGCGAGATAAACATGGATACTGAAAGTCAGTTAGATGCTGGTAATTGAAGAAATGTACAGTGTGAAAGAGAACCTGACATTCTGGGAGAGAAATTGACTGAATGTGTAAAATCGAGTCAGATTACAAGCAGAGCGAGTTAAGTGTACACTACTTGCAGATTAGATTTTTGAGTTTTTTTTTTCTTCTAGGTATGCTTGGACTATAGCTGAATGTGCCCAATGCGCTGATCACTTAGGATGGCGTTTCACTGCGGTCAAAAAGGGTCTGTCGCCCAGTAAGTTTTGGGGACTAACCCGAGCGTCTCTGCGTCCCACCTTAAAATACGACGAGCAAGAAGAAACGTCGGGAAAGTATACAAGGGCGTCATCCTCCTCATCCACCTCTTCGTCCCCATAGAGACCCGTGCAGTGCAGCTAAAAGTAGCTCAAAATACTGGAAACCCCAGCTTTGAAAACCTTGGACCCTGTCTTGGCTCGTTGTTGTAGAGAGGATATCAAGTTTTCTAACTTGTGAGGGGTTAGAAAACTGTGAATGTCAATGCACTTCTTTAGAAGGGTTCCAGATAATGTACCTCCATACGTCGATAATTCATGTGGATTGAGTGAAAGACAAAAAATTTGTCAACGATAGCTATGACCGCACAACACTTTGAAAATGTAGAACAAAAGTTTGATGTTATATTGTAGAAAACTGAACTTTCTCTGTTTTGATAAAAATTGTATCAAACATGGACGAGGGATCAGTTGTATCCGCCACAAGGTTCTTTGTTAGTTTAAGCTCTAAACACGCGTACACAATGTATCGTTATAGTTAGCAAAGCGCTCTTTACACCTTCGATACGTAAATGAAGTCGCAATTACCCAATAATTTTAGAGGACGCGGTGTACGTCTAGAATAGGGCTGTCTGAGAGCCTTAATCAGCGTTGCTGTATGTCGAGAGAAATTCTAATTTCTCTCAGCGTAGTGTTCTGAGTGAGAAAAATCAGAGCAGGGAAGGGAATACGGGAAGGCAGAGGAAATTGAGGCGCTTTGACGGTTAATGTTATAAGAGTTATAAGTAAGGCCAACTTGACTGGCGGTAATAAGAAGAACAGTGAAACGTGCATAGTTAGGATTCATTGTTGACTGAGGAAGCATGAGTTGTGCTACTTCTAATGAAAAAGGAGGCGGCGATATAATTTTTTTTCAGTAAAAACCAGTAAGCCTTGCGGTCGTATTGATACAAAGATTAGATGGAATTCTCTCGTATGTAGTTTAAATGAGAAATGGCGTAATACGCAAGTTCGCATAACAAATGTCTTCGACGAGAGAAACGAGAAATGAAGCTTTTTCACCTGTAATGGTGTTTGATGATTTTAATTCGTTTTTTTTTTGTCACGAATCTTCTATCGACACCCACATTGACACAAATCAGTTGATTTTACTATCACAAGCAAGAACACAGAAGACAAAGAAAAGTGTAGCGGACGGCCATTTAACATCCTCAAAAGAAGTTGAAAAAATGGGGCATGTCATGGACATTTGCGAGACTGACTCAGTAAAAAAAATTGCATGTTGATCAAAATGTATTTTGATTTGTACAGAAAAGGAAAATGTTTTGCTGGAAGGAAACGAGTTGAAAGATTTAGAAGCGAAGTGATTAAGGTGGGGACAAATTTGGTTTACTAAGGGGGCGAATTCGCAAAGGTGGCACGGGGGCGAACCTGCAGTGGGGAGAATCCTCCAGATACCCCTTCTACCCGGTGGTCTTGGAGATCCTCAGCAAATAAAAACCGTTGCGATGAAAAGATCACTATTTCGGCAGCAGTGGCGATCATGTGGAAACCAGGTTTAACCAAAAATAGCGTTAGAAATATCCTGAAAAGCATAAAAAGTTTGTCAAATCGTCTTATGTATCCCAGAAACTCCCTAGCATGTGGAAACCAAATCAATCATTACGATCGCTGGCCGCGTTTTTCGACATTTTCGGCAATCAACGCAACTGGGAGGAATCTAGGCTTAACTCCGAAAACCCTAAGAGTGAATAACATCTAATTTCTCCTAACAATATCACCCTTGAATTAAATATCGAGATCACGAGAATGAAGGAAATAATTGCTAAGCTCCTGACTGTTCAAAAAAAATTTGTCCTTTTCATTCTCGTAAGGAATGGTAAGAGAACAGCATGGAGAAAGTGCATGCTGATGTTAGGGTGTAAAGGGTTACATGAAACGGAGCCAAATTTTTAAAGAGCCAAAGCTGACGTAGAGTAGGATTTATTTCGTGGAAAGCGCTATTGCGCTGACTAACGGGGGAAGTTGTTCCGCTGCCTAGAAGGGGGAGATACTTTAGTTCCCGCAACCGTGAGTAAGAATTTCTGTTCCACGCGTTTTTTTCTGTTCTTTTAATCCCTACATTATCATGTTCTAGTAAGTCTTGAGACAGAGGTCAAGTCTTTCAGAATTATTTGTCACTTCCGGGATATGTATTCCACCTAAAAATAAAATTCGTCCTCTTTTCTCGCAGTGAAACTTCAGTACAAAAAAGAAATTCTCTAGGACACGCGAAGTTGCTGGAGTATGATGCTTCCATCATCACAATTTTATTTCAAGCGCTCAGAGCCATAGAAATGCATCGAGTGAACGTTTTATCAGTACAAAATACTACTATATACAAATCATCTATTTAAGTTCATAAAAATAGCAGTATGTGTAACATACAACTTGCAATTCTTAAAACATCGGGTTGTTACAAGATCAGTCCAACAGGCGACGTTGCGATGAACCACCGTCAAAGAAATTCATCCCGTCGCTGGTCAAAATGTTATCCAAGATAGTGTCAAATGCGTGTTCCTCTCCTTTGTAGCGAACTAGGAATGTTTTACTACTAACGAAAACTCCTGCTGTTCAAGATAAGTAACGAGAATTTGCCGTTACCAACTAAACATTGCTTCAACCGCTATGGTGGCTCCACAGTTTCTCTAGAAGCTAATTTCTTCATTATTTCAAGCTCTTAGTATTTTTATTATTTTGTCCCTTTTCTTTATGAACTGCACTGATTAGGTAGAAATGAGGGGTGTTTCATTAAGAGGCATCCACCCTTCTATGATACCTGCCTTAGCGCGCCTTCCAAATCTGCTATTTAGTCTGTCTACTCATCCTTCTCCTTCTTAGCTCAGAAATTATCACGGAGACTCCTCCCAGTTAAATAATATATTCTTGAAGAATTTACGTAATCTCCTATCGTGATTAATCTCTTAAATCCCATGGCCTGCACGAGATTTTCTAGTTTATCAAACGTACGAGGAGATTATAAACTATTTAACTCCCTCAAGTATCTATTCTTAAATTAATAATGTGAGTCCAATTTTTTTTTCCTGCGGTGAAAGTAAACTTTTCTCGATTTACAAAGTTTCTTTTAAGCTTTTTATTTCGAGTCTTTCAGAGTATGAAATATGTGAGCGAAAAAAAAAACACCACTGAAGAACGAGGGTAAGACCTGTGATACGCCAGTGTGACGCACGAGGACCTCTTTTTTACAAATGTCCGGTTATAGAGAGCAAACACGGTAAAAGTCGTCTACAAGAGTGATCAACTTTGGTGTTTTTCTTTTGCATACTGTTTTTTCCTTCCGCTTGGTTTGTTCCAGTTTGAAGCATTTTTTGTGAGATCTTTAAGATCAGCAACTGAACGTGACTTGAGAAATGTTCTCTGCTAAATTATTATTTTCTTCCCCGTTCCGTCATACGTCGACGTGGTCAGTTGTTCGTGAATATCGATAGGGATACATACTATTGTTTTTCATAGACTGTGACGGGCTCATACTAGAACTCGACCCAGCTGAATATCTGTTGATCATCCTTATCGACTCTCTAACGTCTCTAAGCTCGGTCTTCATTTTCCGATAAATTTGATCGAGTGAATTCTCAAGCGATTCTACTTTTCCTTGTAGAGCGTCTGCAGGCAAATCTCCTCTGTCAATTGGATCACTTTCTAACCGTGACCGACAAGTAGGGTGCGTGACCCGACCATTTTCAGTAAGCTCGTTCAGTTTTGCATGTGACGTCTGATTGTCATGACCGTATGTTAATGAGAGGTGTTGGAGATGTCCCGGATGGGTGTGGCTCGTGTCAGAGTATGTGCGTCTTGACGTGGCTGGGGATTCTTTAGTTTGCCCAGTGTTTGAAGGCCGCCACGAGTCTACAAATACTGCCTGTATTTTTCTGTTTTTGTCCCGTAGGGTTGGCTGATCGGATTGTTCTCCCTGCAAATCGCAAAAACAAAGGTTATCAGAAAACACTACATCCTCATGTAGTAAGTATTTCTTATTCCTGGTCATCACGTTTTTGCCAATAATAAAATGCGCGTGTATATAAATGCAGGTTTAGCCTTTTGTGTCCTAAAAGTTTGTTAACTTACTTCTAAGATAGTCGGCGGAGATCCAATGCTTTTCAATGAGTTTCTGCTGGTGCGCCGTCCGACATTTTGCTTCTGGAGAAAATTTTCAACGTTCCCGATACTTCTTGACACGTCAGTCAGCAACATGGCAATGTCGTCAGCCAAGAAGAACTTCTTCCAGTAATCATCTGTTAATAGTTTGACAGAAAAAGTATAGAGTGATTATTGGACTCCTAAAAGTCATGCGTGTAACAAGAAGGAAACTGCTACTTGGCCAGGATTCTATTGGCGTTCATTCCAGCCAGCAAACACCCCTTTAAGCAGAAGTTACTGAGTCACGGTACCCGCCTCATATGAACCCTAAATTTATAATATTCGAGGATAGAGAACCTTTTATGGACCTGAGACTGCATCCTGACGAGATGTATTCTTGATCACACTTTAAACTCCCTTCAAGAGAGGATAACTCATGCCCCTTGGCTAGCCCTAAGTATTTTTTATTATGTTTCTCTGCGGTGGGGTACACTATTAAGAGTATGAGGTTTATAAATTGGCGATGAAAAAAAAAAAGGGTTCACCAATAATTAATGGAAATATCCTGATAGCATAATCCTGCGTCATGTTCAAACCCCCCCCCCTCCCCCCACCACCAGGAATCGAATTCTCTGTGATAATGGAAACACCTCTTGTGCTCAGTGGGTCAACAGCGAAAATGTGCCATGTGTAGTATGTTCTCTTTGCTTATTCTGTCATCACACCAACTGCAGCGGACCTAGAAGCAGTTAAACTGTTAGTTAACCGCATGTCTCTTTCTGTCCTAGAGACGGCAGACATGTTTCTGTTTGAATTCTCTTGAGGACATAGTGATGTGAGACTTATCCACAATCTGTATAGCGTATGATTTGAAACTTAACTTTAGTCTACGTTTGGCAAGTGAAGTCCCTTCCCTCCCCTCTCCCCTTAGCTATCATACATACCTCGTGACCAGCTTTTCCTTGCGATCCTCCACCGCCGCACGCTTTCCGCTAGTTTGTGTTGAAACATTCTGAGTTTTTCAGATTTGAACCAGTCTCCCATCACGAGGGGTTCTGTATTCTCCTGTATAAAGCGATGTAGTCTCCATGTGTTCTGGATGCATGTGGCTGCAAGATTCTTTTTTCCCGAATGATGATCTATGAAAAAGATAAATGCTCATAATAAACGATGCGTGGAGAAGACAGAGTTTGAGATCCACCTTCAGCGATGAACTAAGGGCCTCATAATCTGTTTCACTTTTGCGTGACTTCGCCCCGATATTTTTAGCCTTGGGTGACGAAAAAGCGCTGCCTTAATCAACACGTTGAACTCTAAATTATTACGGTGCGATGGTCTGCTTACTCTGACAGAGGAAGATTTCCAATAAATTGCTTACACTAATACAAAGTTCAACCGTTTTAGTAAGATAGAGTTAGCTCGATTCGGATCCGGTTTCTCTCTAATCTCAAAACTGAACAAAAGTGACATATTGAACAGGTACAATGATACTGCAAAACAAATGGGAGATAAAAATGAGAGTGCATTAATTTACCTGCATTCTCCATGGTCGCTAGTATTCTTTTCTCCTGTTGTTTAAGTTGAAGTGATTCGTGTACGACACTTATGAATAACGCCATGAGGAATATTCCCAACACTGACGCAAAACCAACAAACGCGCGGGCTAAGATAGCTTTGGGAACCACATCACCAAACCCGAGCGTTGTCATGGTGACCACAAGCATCCAGACAGTGTCCTGGCCAAATATTTTAAAAGAGGTTAAAACATAATGAAGAACATGCAATACAATTCGAGAATTTGTTTGATACCAAGATTAAACCTGAAATTAAAAAAGGAAAAAAATACAATATTCTAGATTATCGCTAAGACTTTCCAATTGTCCTTTAACATGCGTTAAAGCGTTCGTTTTGCCTGAATTTTCTTTGCCCCCCGGTCCCCCCTCCCCCATCAACCAACTCTGATAATGACTTCCTCTAAGTTAATTGAAGCATCAGCATCTGCGTCCCAGAAGATTCCTGTTAAATCATACAGAGTTTTTGTGGTGAGAAAGGCAAAGACAGCGTCAGGAATCAATGGGGGAGGGGGAATGGGGAGGAAACAGTGTAGCAAAATAAGCTAGGTGCAGCTAGACAATGAACTCACAAATATTACAGATCAAACTTAGATTCGCTTATTCCCGGAATCTTACTCAACTGAACGGTTAACCAGTGTAGCTAAGAATATTTTTTTCATATTTATGCTGAGAAGTAAATATTTGTGACTGCATAGCAAAAATATCCCCTCGAAATAAGGGTTGATTCTTTGTATATTATAGAAATTCCCCTTCCACAGGTGTACGGATGAAACTATTCTATTTTTTATCAACTGTAGATCCGATAAATTTGAAGGAATTGTTTTCATATGTTGTGAGTTTTGTTTTGTTTTGTTTTTAATAGATCTTAATTAAGGAAGAAATGTAGATCAGTTTTATTGAAGACCTACTGTTGTGTTTCTGATTCGTGTTATTTTAAATATTACAGGCGCCGCTCAAGATTGTCGAATCATGTGTTAACAACTGCACCAGGTGTGTGTGATAATGTGATGCACTGGATTGTTTCAAGGTTACTAATAAGACTAACTTAATACGATAAATAAGCTCGAATTAGTTTCAAACGCCTGATGTTTTTGTTTTCAAGGTCGTTTCGATCGATTTCTGCCCAGGGGCAGAGCCTTAGTCCTAAAAGAAGAGATAAAACCAACGTTCACTTAACATTGTATGAATTTTGGAATTTTTTTCTGCCTTGTATCCTTGGTTTCAGACGACGATTGCATATCTTGATTATATTTAGACTGAAAACATAATACGTCGTCCTATGGAGAAAGAACCGTGTTTCTGCAGTCATCATTAATCTAGACAAAGAAAGTTCCAACATTGCCGTTAAACAAATTGGTGTTATTCTATTCAGCAACTCAAAAAAAGTGTTATTGGTGTTATTTCAATTTGGCCTCTAATAGTGTTCTGATCAAAAGGGGGCCACCCTCATTAGTTGAAATTAGTTTCATTAGATGCCAAGTCACGTTTGTTTTGAAACTAGTTAGCGGCATGGTTTTCCGAACTTGTTTTTTTATTACTAAGACTCGTCTAGAAATGTCAAGAATTAAAAAAGGTTATGAGTTCCGTGCACCGAATATTTGAGCGAATAATTTGCATGTGAGTTAGCGAAAATAACAGGGAGGTGTGGTATCAATTGGAGGTAGATTCCCTGCTGTTCCATGATATCGTAGAAAGATATTGTTAACTACCAATCCTACTACTTTTTCTCGATTGTGTAATTATGAAAGTGTTCAGGAGTCAAATAAATTATTCTAATGTCAGCTTGAAAGTTTTATGAAAGTTTTGGAGCTTCCTTAGCGAGTGTTTCTTTTTTATTTCTTTTTTTTTCTTTTTTTTCCTCATTTTTTTTTTTGGAGGGGGAAGGGGAGGGGATTTCGTGCGTAGAACCTTTTCTAGCGAGTGTTTTTATATTTTAATTTGTCTTCTCTTACTTACCTATTACTCCCCCTTTCTGAAAATTGAGAGATCTTTAACACTTTACAGAGCCACATATGCATGCATATTTGCAAACCCAGCAAGCAAATTAGTCCGTAGAGTTACTTGTGAACGGGCTGCTTTATCGCTTTACTTCCTACAGCGTTCTATTGTTTTACACAAAAAGTCATCCAAACAATGTAAGCTTTTAAAGCAAGCTCAGTCATTGTTCCCGTAAAGCTTAACAGCTTTTCATGCTTGACCACCAACCTGTGTACTCCAATTAAGTTCCTTTGCAGGCTTACACGACCAATTATCGATTTCTAGTTGCAGAACCAAACGCACAAAAAGAGTATATTCGACCATTATTGCGAGCTTATTTTCACCGAGTTTTGCACACTTTTAACGCTGTGTGCAAAGCCAACAATCGTTATTTTTTGTCACTCTTTGGCACGAACTACGACTTGAATAAACATCAGGTGATGACGAGATTTTGGTGTGGTTCATGCGCGCCGAAACGGAAACTCTCTCAATACTTAGTTTTAGGAACGGGTTGATAGCTGTACATACTTGGTAGCCTTTTAAGTGCAAAGTAAGCATTTTCAGTTCTCTATGGACAGTTACTAAATGTTGTTTTCCTGAATTCACATATAACACGTGAACATTACAGAGTCGCACATGTTTGTCTTCGAAGGAGAGGGAAACTAGCGTTCCCCAAATTCTTTGAAGCTTCCGTGCGTCCTGTGACGAAGTCTAAGCTTTCGATGGGATGTCACAATTGAATCGTCGCTTACTTCTTCTTTAGAAGTTAAATCATCACTATTTAAGTTGTTTTTTAACAGTGGTTATCGCCGCTTTATTTTCAAATATACAACAGCGTGTTCGACATCGTTTCGGCGCGTGATTTTCTTTTTCTTAATATGCTTTGACAAACAGAAGTAAGAAATAAACACCATTTTGTTGTTTGTGATATTTGGAGGCGAGAGGTCGCCGCGAGACGTAAAAGATAGCGCTGAATAGAGTGTTAACAGCAGATAAGAGCTGAACGAACAGCAGATCAAAAAATGAATTTATTTTCTCTTGTTGGCGAAGTGTGGGGTCGTTTAATTTGCTGTCGGTGCTTTGTGTAAGAAAAGAGTAACTCGTACTAGCACAAAAACAACTTATTAGAATTACAATAGAGGTTGGCTTGATGAAGAGCTATTCAATTTTTAATCACTCCAGCCCCAGCTGTGGTAGATGTGCATCAAGATTAACAGATAAAACATTTTACACCATAAACATACACGTAATTTTTGAACGTGCGAGATTATAGAAGAATATTAAGTAACGAATTTACAGTAGACAGAGGAAAAGCTCTAAAATTTCAAACTAGTTCGCTCATCTTGAAAGGGGTCAATCGCAATAAAAGACAAATTACATTTTTGAATATGACAGAGTGAAAGGATTGAAATTGAAACCATTATTTTTTAACCAAAACAAACGTTTGTCTAGTAAAGTAATACACTGGCTTTGAGCACAATAACGCCGACAGTTTGTAAACCATTGGCACCGGAATTCATATCCGAAAAGTAAACAAATTTCGACAAATTACTCATTGAAAAACCTGCTTTTGGTTCGTCAGAGCAAGAAAGCGCTCAGGATGGCTCAAATGGCCATCTAAGTAAACATACTGGTTTGTATTTGGACGACCTTACGATGTTTTTAGCTTGGGTAAAAAAATTACATCTTGGCAAAATTGTAGAAAAAAGTTTTCATACTTACCAAATAAGTATTGTGAGCCCTGTCGATAACGTAGACACAATAGCCACCCAAGAAAATGTTGAGCGAGTAAAATGTAAATATCAGTTGGAAAGGAAACTTCAAAAAGTAGGCTTTTATTAGGAAAATGGACGAGATCTCCGTTTGTGTCACAGATGCGAACAATGCTGTGGCACGATTGTCTACAAACATGTTGTGTTCTTTCACGTACTTTGCCATCAGATATAATCTTAGGAAAACCAAAAGCTGAAGTTCATAAGGCATGCCATAGTGGTCTAACAGAGGCGGAACATGAAACAGACAAAGAACCACTTCTACCAAACAGGTGGGAAACAGCGAAGTCATAACAAATCTCTCTGACTCGTGGTAAATGTTCCTTACGATTAAGTAGCTGAGTTCGTTTACATTCATACGATAAATTGTGAAGGAGGTCAGCAGCGATAAAACAGAGAGAACGGACTTCACTACTAAAGCTGCAAGTCTGTTCGGATTATCAAGAGCAGTACGCAAATCTCCTGGTGATAGCTCTTCATCGGAGACTCTACCTCGCGTGGTGAGTTCAATATCCACCAGTGCTAAGACAGCCGATACAAGTCCCATGACACACGCAACACTTGACAACATCTTAATCCTCCGCTTGTAAAATTTCTTAGCTGCGTCAAAATCTCTAAAAGATAGCAATGCCTGATCAGGAGCCTCGAGCCTTGCAGATATTTTGCGGGTAATCACCTTCTTCCGAGTCCTACACTTTTCCGTAGGTTTTATAGAAGAATTGTCCGGCTCTACATTGACACAGTTCACTCGCCGATGACTTTCCATGTCCGTAATGATGTTGATGTTCCTTAAATGTATCTTATCCCTCGCAGTATGTGTTTGTTCTGCGGAGAAATCCATTAAGAATTGGTTAAATTCTTGTTGTAATACCTAAAGCTCAGAGGTCGGTATCGGACACATGAACCAAAACAAGGAATTATTCTAATGCCCGTAACTAAGCCAGCGGTAATTTACGCGACCTCACGAACAATAATTAACGCAGCACGTAGCGTGTATTTGTAGACACTAACCAATAATGTTCGGTTTGCCGCTATCAAATAGATAAAAAGTACAATCATATTAGAATGAGTTAAACCCTACAAGGGATCTACAGTTGGTGGAAACATATGCTCTTAAGACTCACTGATGATAATATTACGACGATAAATTTTCATTTCAAAAATTGTTTCCTTGTTATGGGATTTGTGGCAACACTTAAGTGAAAGATGGACAAGATAAAAACAATGTTTTCAAATCGCAAACAAGCTCAACGGAAAAACCAAATAATTATGAAGCTATGTTTATTTTATGTTTTATATGCATGTCGGTTCTCTTATTTACCGCAATTACGGTACACTTGACAACGACGTCAATAACTTCCACAGAGAGTTGACAAAAGGCACTAAATTTTTATTAACTACAGCGTAGTACTGTGTGAAGGATCTATTGTTTCTCATTTGAATTCATTACCGGAATATGTGGAAAAAAAATATGAGAAGAGTGAATCAAACGCTGTTTTGAAGTTTCCAGTCGCGCCGTTTCTTTATCTTCCATGTTATCGCCAAGAATGCACGCAGGAGTCGCACAACAAACAATTAAGTTCACCAGGCTGTTAGAATGGTAAATATAGTCATGCACATATGCCTTTTGGGCATAAAACTGAAATGATAAGAATCTTTTTGCAATGTATGAGTTTTTCTATATTTTCATATCATGTGCTTTAATGACAATATTTCAAAATAATAATAATATTAATAATAATAATAAAATTCCTTAAAAAAAATTAGTGGCTTATGAAAGAAACTGTGGCATTCAGTAGTTTACTGCATTTGAAAAGATGCAGGCCCGATGTTTAATGGAACATATAAACTTAAATAAACTGAAATACTCTCTGCAGGCCTATGTGGCCAGCAACGCGTTCTCTCAAGTAACACGGGGAAACTGTCACAGTTTTAGTTTGTCACAAAGAAAGAAAGATTCCTCCGTAGCAGGCGTAGTATAATCGGTTACAAATCACAGTCGATCGCAGGTTATCAGTTTCGAAGATATAAAGAAAAAACAAATAATCTTCTCTAACTGATCGTTGCTTCGGCTGTATTCAAAGCAGAGACAAGCGTGTGTTTCTTGTAAATTATTCATATATCGTTCGCCAATGCTATCACTGTAATAAGTGTTTCCGATGGTTGCTAAAATAAAAATTCAAATATAATAACAACATTAATGATGTAAAATTTGGTCGATTGACGGAATCGCGTGCTAGATCCATGCAAAAAAAAAAAAGTCTCCTTGCCAAATGAACAGGAATAGATAGTTCCCTTATTCAAACTTGTTTGAAAGGTGTCGCATCCAAGAAAAAGGGCGGGTACTTTGTCCACTCCATATCATTTAAACTCGTTGCAAGATTAACAGTGGGAAGAAATATCCCTCGTTCATATCTCTCAGTTTTATTCACCTTTGAGCTTTTGTCCCTGGCTTCGTAGATATTTGTTTCGAAAGGAATAACTGGTGTATGGGTAGATGACAAATTGAATAACTAAAGTTCATTTTCGATGTAAACAGCTGGTTTACGTTTAGCGAAATGTATTAATTTTTTGTTTTCGCTTGAAACTCGGAAAGACAATTATGTCTTTGAAAGACACCGTCATAAGCTACAGTAAGAAGCTGTTATTTGTTTATGCTAATCATTTGGTGACAAAAGCTATGTTTGCCGCGGCGAATGAAATGGTTTTTTTTTTTAATTTTTGTTGACACTATCGTGGAGACTGAAGAAACCGAACGCGATGAAATCGACAAGAATGAAATGTACACCAACTAAATATTTCCAAATATTTCCATATTCAGCGGGAAAAAAAGATAAGGGGAAAAAATTTAAAAGATTTCAAGAAGCAACGATGACTATTTCCATTTGGGTTCATTCAACGACGCTTAATTAAAAAGGCGTACTTCATTTTCTTAACTGTTATTTTTCGTTGTTTTATGATGAAAGAAATTAGAGCGCTGACACGTCCGGTGGGGTATTAATTTAGGGAGTAAAACAACTGCATTACTTACTGTACACACTCGTTAGTAGACTGTACGATTTGTTCATTTGTGCCAAGTCCCGTTAGGCATCATCATACATTTCATATATATTTCTTCACACTTTCTCTGCTCCGTCGAGAAATTCATTTCAAAGGAAAAATTATTGAACTGAAAAGCCTTTGGATAACAACTTTTCCTTAATTGGACGTTCACTCATGGTAATACCCAAGCAAATTTATTAAAGTGATAGTGGAAGCTAGAGGAATATGAACAAATCAGCTAGAAGCCAGATCAAGCACATCATGAAATATATCATCATTTGAGGAAAGTTAACTTGGCCGGGAACACTTAGGGACTGCCGGCCCCCTAATCTTATGCCGATAGAAATAAAATAGAACAATGAATGCTGTTAATATATACCATCATGATCTAGGAGCTTTTTAGTAAGCTGAGAAGGAAAACACCTTTAACCTCAAGTTATTAAGAATGCATATCAAGCCGTGCTTTACACCTTTGCACGTGTCCCTGCTTTGTCTTTGCGAATGTTCAGAAACCGAACGACATCCTGTAATCATCTTAGTCTTCTATGCGCTCTCTTATTTTTATTTTTCACCAAAATACCCCAGTTATTCTAACCCCAATGACAATTCCGTTAATTATCTCTTAAAGTGATGCATTTGGGCCTTAAAGTGGATTTTCAGAAAGGACTTTCTATCAATCTGGAACCTGAGGACAATGGAATAATACCTTTCTTATCTCCGACAGCTCACCTTGTCCCTTATCGATACTGTGGCAGACCCTTTATGTCAGTCAACCTTTCTGTTGGAAAACTTTAAGAGAGCGATTACTCGCAAGCTCGTTCGTTCTCGCTGCTTGTAGGTGGTATGCGGCGGTCATCAAAAGCAAGTACAACCCAGTCTGGCGGCCGAGTGCGTTAACGGTCTCAAAACAGTCTCTCGCTTGATAAAAAATTTACAACTTTTTCCATCATTCTTAAAACGTCAGCATTGTTTCACCTTAATTGGTTGGATTCATAAGAGGGTATTGCGCAAAAATTTGAGCTTCTGCGATTGTTTTCTTTTGTCTGGTTGTTCTGATGGTCTTGCACTCAATTCTGTGTTCTCAGGTCTGTCCTTTCGTTTACATAGCATTTCACCAATCTGAGAATAACTGGCTTTCTCTGACATTGACACCTCTAACTAAGTTCTGATAGCTTCCTTCCGCTGTAGATGATATTAGGCTACTTATACCTAATTTTCCGAAAGAAGAATTCACCTATCTACCTCGTAATTAATTTCTGTATGATGTACGTAAAGAGTCTTTTTGTTTTTTATTTTTCTGGCTGCTGTGTTGCTAGATGAAGCAGTTCTTACAAGCGAGCCCTTACGCAGGTTAGTAATTGTGAATACGGACTTCCTTTCCCATATCGTATGCAGCCGGCTTTAGTCTGAAATATAAATACCTTTTGTTACTGAGTACTGACAACAATAACCTGGGTCAGCATGATGCGTGAATAGTCGTAGACGTGTTTTAAGTGAGAAAGAGAAGGCTGTATTCAAAATCATTAAATCATTGTTGGTTTTTTTGGTCGAAAACAGAACAATTCCGCAGCACTGCAAGTTGCATCAATTCTGAGTATTCGCGACTTCCTTTACGCAAAGTGAAAGGGTATTTTAAATATTGATTGAAAATTTCGGCCTCACCTGAAACGGAAGTCACTAAATTATCTCCATCAATGTGATAAGCAGTTCTTTCGCTGTGGGATATGATCACAAAACTGTTGAATGTTAGATACATATAGGATTTCTTGCAAATTGATGTGTCCTTTGATTTTAGTTGCTCTCCCTAAATTAATTACTGTCGCGTTGTGATGTCGAGGCAACCATCATCGCTGTAACTATTTTTAAGAAATGCCACAGAGTAAGTGACTCGTTTGTAATTTCGCTATGTATCAGTTTGCCTTTTATGTAAACAGCTTGGCATAGGCATCAGTGACACCCTTTTAGTTTCTGTCACTTCTCTGTAATTAAAGAGGCAAAGTTTGCATTTGGACGAAATTACAACTGTTTTACTTCACGGCCATTTTGACTAAGGCAGAACAAAGATTGCATTATAGAAAGTGTTTGACTCAAAAATATCGCATCAAAAAAATTTAAATTTTTAGTAGAAAACGCCGCACTTATTGAGAAAAAAATTGTGAAGAATAGCCGAATAATGATAGAAATGTCTGATAGGCGAAACAATTAAAGCGAAGGATTTCGTTAAAACTGCACATCAACCACCCAGTTTTGCCTTGTTTTTCGTGGGCAACTGCTGGCGGGGTTACTCGAACATCCCCCTCTTCGTCCTAAAAACGTTCGATTTTGTATACCATTTCCTTTGCCCCAAAGCTAATGTTTATGAGAAGACTTCTTTTTACAGCAACTATTCAACAACTTCACAGATTTAGATTGCTATCTGCAGCCTAGATTTCAAGAATCTCCGTGGTAAGTTACAACAACGTTTTCCGATTCAAATCGCTGAATGGATCATCGAAAGATGAGCAGAGCCGGTGCTTTCAATGATAATAGCAAACTTTTGATTAAATGTTCCTTCTCTTCATGTGTAGTCAAAAGAAAGTGTTTTAAAAAAAGCGAATCCTACCATGTAATTACCTGCCATTAACTGCCTTCACGTGAACAAAACTGACCAGACAAACCTCAGGATACGAACAAAGAGCTCTAGAAAAAGTTGCTTATAATCAGGGAAGAAAAGATGGAGAACATTTAATGATTATGGGAATCGCAGGATTAGCTACCGTAGTCGCTGTTTCACTTCTTCGGAA